CTAAGCAAATACATATTAAAAATTGTTTTATTTATCTCCTTCCCATTTCAGTTAGCTTAATTTTTGTAGCTGAAGGAAGTCACTAACTCTTTATATGTATTACTTTGCTATTTTAGTATTTTTGAGAGAAAAACTTGAGGCATAGATCCCTCTAAGATAAATGAGAGTATATGATATCTAGTTTCTATTGAATGGTGCCCTCAAATCTGGGCCATTCTTAATCTTGGGAAGTACTTGTGCACACATTCTTCAGCACCTAGGATAGAACCCACTTCTTAGAATCCCTGAATGTTCATTTTGGGTGATACAATCTCTCTGTACCTTCAAATCTCATAAGACTTAGAGTTTACACTCAATTGGCATCTAGCATTTTTTCCCTCTGTGTGTCATGTGGATAACATGTGTCTCCTGATCTGAATTGTAAGTTACTTGTATAAATCAGGGTCAGGATCACAACTGGGAAAAAAATGACACATTCAAAATAGTATTCAAAGTTTTATATATGAAAGAGCCACTTACCAAAGACAAGGAATATGCAGCAACCTGTGGATAGTAATAGTTTAGCCATTAACATCTGAAATGGGAAGGGGAGGCAGCTGTTACTAGAACCTAGAAGGAGGGAATCCTGTAATTTTCACAGTAATAGAAGCAGTGAGTTTGGGTTGAGGAACACAGCCAGTCCTACATGATTTCAAGTGGGAACTAAGAAACATGATTTCAAGTGGGAACTAAGAAAATAAATACCATGCACTAACTTTCTTCCCTTCATTTGATTAGCTGGTTTCATATTGATCATAGTGAGCAAAAACTCAGACACCATGAAAGTATTCTTTTTATTCAAGAAATTCTTATTATTCAAGAAAAGTATTCTTATTATTCAAATAAAAAGTTTGTGTCCCCAAAAGAAAAGCACACAAAGTCCCATCTGCTACTGTTTCATTGTAGAGTGGTATTAGTCCAGTTATATACCTGTCTTAAATTTATAACTATAACTATAACTTGTGTTTTTCATATAAGGTTTTAGGGAAAATGCCCTCATTAAGAGAAGAAATAAGTTTATGTGGCCTTAATTGGTAATCATAGCTCCCTTGTCAACTGCTCATTCTTTTTTCCCTTTACCTTCTGCCAGCATTTTGACTACACAGGTTATTTACCTGGTGGATCAAACCAAACCTTTATTCCTCCAAATCTTATCTCTTTGCTTCTTTTTCTTAATTAAGTTGCTACAATTTCAGTTTTCCATTGAAATGGAAATTGGAATGTAGAAATGTGGAATTGGAAAATGAGATGGAATTGGACAAAGCAGAATTTGAATCTTCTGAGTGCCAAATATATTCTCCCTGCCTTCCTTTGTATAGCAAAGATACATTTTCTTCCTGGCAGATGAGATTAATCATTAGACCCAGCACAGTGATGACGTTTTCTATCAGTTTTTTTTTTTTTCCCAGTCATGTTGAGCCTAAAATGGTCAGGGGGAGATTTCAATTTCCAATTCAGAGGAACAGAATTTTGACCATATTCCCTGTTGGAGGCAATCCTCCCTTAGGCATTAGGACTTCTAAACACACCAAGCTCATTATCATGAGGACAAGAAACAAAATGTGTTCAGTGAGTCAATGGTGCAATAGTGAAAGAGAACACTACCTTCCACCCCTTCGTTCCTAAATTTGTGCTTCCTGGCTATGCAGGAGGGACACATGCATGCTTTGGGATGACATACCAACTTCAAGGCTGTTGTCAAATAGTGCCAAAACTGGGGTAGAACAGGTTATTTCACTCTTCTATCAAGCCAGGTACATGGGGAATATGATGAGACCAGTGAATTCCATGGATCTGAGCCCACTGCCCTTGCTTTTGCTATAAAATATTTCCTGTTTGGAGTGAAATAGTGTGGGTTACCATGGTAATGGATAAGTTATTCTGTAAGTCCATGAGTAGCATGCTGATAGGACTGCAGGCAGCAAAGACAGATCTATAACTAGAATATATGTCTATCTCTGTAATCACAAAATGCTACCCTTTTTTGATGGAAGGGTTCCCATGTAATTCACCTGCCAGCAGGCAGTCAGCTGGTCCTGCTGGGAAATAATGCCATATCAAGAGTTTAGTGACAATCACTATTATTATCAAGTAATGGTGGGAGCTGCAAACTGACATGCACTCAGTAGCCATATTGTCCATCTGATTATTGAGAGCCTCCTCTGCTGTGGATGTGCTCTGGTGGTCATTAAGTAGGACACTAATGTCTTCACATTTTTACCTCTTCTGTTAAGTCCATGCACATACCTTTCCCTAAACTCCCTTGTCACTAATTTTCTAATTTTACTTTTCCCATATCCTTGATCAGATGGTCATTTATTTGTTACTGTGCATGAGTCAAGGTGAATCCATGCTTCCAGCCAAGGCTCTTTCCACAAGTAGTGGAAAACTAAATATCTTGTTCAAAATTCTGCCAACTTAGAAGATTTACATTTATTGTAGTCTTTTAGTGCCACTCCCAAGTCAGATTGTAGTGCAAACCCTATCCAGTTCCAGCGTGTTCAAGTACATGATGCAAACCTGCCCACAGACCAGACCTGCATTTGTTCTTCCTCTGCCAACTTGTGTTATCTTGAAGCATAGATGTGAGATGAAGGAGAGGATAAAGCAGAGAATGCAATACTATGAGCAGTTCACTTATGGGCTCTGGCCCAATCCTATATATACCACTTCTATTTTACAGTGGAATGTTGCTGTATGTGTTTAGTTTTATGGTCAATGAATCGGATAACAATCAGTTCATGATGGACAGTTTCACTTGTATAGTCACTTGGTATCCCATGGTCAGGCTAATTGTTTCTGCCAGAAACAGTAGAGAGCTGCTTTTGAAACAGAGAATATTTATTAGCACAGGAGTAAGCAGCCTATCTCTAAAGCTTCTAATGCCTGTGCTTTGATTGTCATATGGAGAGTGTCAGAAGCTCCACATAGCATCTCTGTTGGCGGCGATACTTACATTACCATCGTATCTGCTGGGTCACAAGATAAAGATGGTAAGGAAGGTTGTACCATGGCCTTGATCTGCTGCATAGCCCTCTCCTGCTCAGGTTCTACTCAGAACTGGCAGCTTTACAGGTTACCTGGGAAATAGAATAGGGCAGCACACGTGAATGTGGTTTATGTCATTCTTCAAAATCCAAAGAATCCAGTCTCCCTTTTATATAAGTACAGTCCCAACAAATTTTCTTTCACTTTAGAAGAAATATCCCAGTGTATCCCAGGCTTCTAGATCTTTAAACTCTTCCTTAGGAATGCAGACTCTTAAATTTTACACAAATTCATCTTATAGTTTGCTTTATGCAAAGGAGATCTAGCTCTTTGGATGAAGGTTGCCTCTATCCGTATGAAGATATGTGGGAATTTTGAGGTTCAAAATCTTCAGCCATAAAATTAGACACATATAGCGACTTTCCACATATAATGTGTTGTCTATGAGACTGGTCCAGAAAGCATGAGTATACTGCACGTGTTTACCCAAGCATCTTTAGCCTTTGTGTCAGGGTTGCAGTACTTGTCCACCAATATCTCTACCTTAGCTTTAAAAAGCAAGTGGAGTCGAGCCGCTAATTTGTGTCCCAGCTCTGCAGCCCCTTCTGTGTTCTCTTGGACTCAGCCATATCTGCCCCGCAACTACAGGCGGGAGGGACTCCTTCAAGGATGCCATGGTAGCCTTGTGTGTGTTTCTAATTTTGCGGTCGTGGTTTCAGTTTCTGTTTATTCCTAAGTAATCTCTCCAAGTTGTCATAAGAACTACGGGAACTTCACTTTAGAATCTTTACAGTTGCCATTGTTGTAGCAACAAAGTGCCACAACCACTTGTCCTCCCAACGCCTCTCCTCTCTATCTACATTTCATTCTGTGTCACCACCAGTGACAATTGATTACTCATGATTACATCCCTTGCTATGTATTATATATGCTCCAATTCCCCCCGTAAAGGCTATTATTACATCAAAGGTGATATAGATATAGATATAATAGATATATCTCTAATTTAATCTCAAAGTCTAATTTTGAGGGTCTCTTTTCTGAGTCTACTGTGGATATTAATCACTATATCAGTTAGGATCCCAAAATGAAAGAGTTCATGCAGTCAATAATTTAAAGAGGATTTATTTACAAAGAGACCATTTACAAAGGTGAAGGTATAGGGGAACCACAAAGGACAGAGCTATAATCTAGACTAGTAGCAACCAAGCTATTACCACCCCTATGACCACAGAGATGAACCATTACCAGATACAAAAGGAGAAAATTGTGTAGAGGAGGCTGCATTGACAGGAGTAGTGACATCATTTGAAGCACACAGCAAACTTGAGGTGATATTTTGGGATAGAACCAAGGCAATAAATAATTAGACTTTACTCTCCTTCTAATCTCATGCCAAATTATCATAATGGCCATATTTTAGAGGGCAGGGCAGTCCTTTTAATGTAGTTCATACAGGTTAATTTTCTGGGCCAGAAAGCAGGTGTAGAAAAGTGGTTAGTGGGTCTGGGGTCACATGAAAGATATCTAGTATATTTCTTATTCTATTTCCATAGAGCTTAAAATAGTTTAATGAATCTAGTGGATATTGAACTTGTTTGATGATGAAAGGATGGAAATATGATTGAATGCAAATATGAGTGAATGGCGACATGAATATGGTTTTATGCCGCATTTCAGTCTTCTTTTAATGTTCTTATTCTTCTTACTCTGATAGTGCTTTCATCTCTGTTCATGTCGCTGACAGTCCATGAAACCCTGACTTCATTGCTTCATTCTTTCCTTTCTTTGCATCTGCTTTTCCCGGGGTTAAAACGGTAACTCAGAGATAGAGAATTATCCATGAAGTTGATTAAAACCAACATACTGTATAGAAAATATATATGTACAATGGAGATTTCAAGGACAGATGTTTGTGGGTGACTGAGCCCACAGCTCTACAGTTGGTTTCAAATAACACTCATTTATTCTAGAGGAACTTCTACATTCTCACATCGCCCACTGGTGGTCACCAGATGGAGAAAGACTTGCCTTCCTGATGATAAATGACTCATTGGTGCCTAACATGGTTATCCCTCGGTTTACTGGAGCATTGTATCCCAAAGGAAAGCAGTATCCATATCCTAAGGTAAGTAATGTGGAAGTGCTAGTTGTTCCCTCTCTCTGTGCACCCGTGAATTGATTGATAGTATTGTGAACAATTGTCTGGAGAAAAAAAGAAGCTCCCCTTACTTGCTGACAGACTTATCATTTTAAAGCTTGCAGTAGTCTGTACACAGTGCTCGAGTAGGAAGAGGTAAAGATGATTCGGTGGTGTGGGAACTTTCACTTTTGGTGTACTTTTTCCCCTTTGATGATCTCATTCTTGTTTATGCTCACCTTCCCAGCTAAAAAGAGGGGAAGAAGAGATAAGGATCAGCATTGAATCCAGGGCAAGAGTTTCTCTAAGGTATAGTCTTTGAGTTGTTAATAGGTGTTATAAAGGAGCAAAAAGGGCCAAGGTCGAATAAAGTTGGAAATTTTTTTTTTTTTTTTTTTTTTGCTGAGGAAGATTTGTCCTGAGCTAACATCTGTTGCCGATCTTCCTCTTTTTGTATGTGAACCACCACCACAGCATGGCTACTGTCAGATGAGCGGTGTAGGTCCACTCCCGGGAAGCAAACCCAGGCCGCCAAAGTGGAGCATGCCGACGTTAACCACTAGGCCACTGGGGCTGGACCAGAAATTCTTAGTTAAAAAAAAAATCTGACTTCTTTTAGGTGATTTCTTAGAGCACTTAATATGCTATATGTTAATGTGTATTATAAATCTGCTATAAAAAATAAACTAAGCATAAAGAAGCTCCAGTAAGGAATAGACTTAGCATAAAGAATCTCAATAAAGAATACACTAAACATAAGGAATCACCAATAAAGAATAGACTAAGCATAAAAAATTTATTAGTACTAGTATTAACATCAGTATTTTATCAGTATTATTTTGGCAGAGCATACTCTAGAACATACTTTATAAAATGCTGGGGAATAGCCACAGCCAGGCATAACTAGAATAGATAGAATTGTTTTAGTGAGTGAAGCAAATGTGAAAATCCTGCCTGGATAGAAAACTATCTTCAAATGTTGGGTGAGCCCTCTGGGAACAGGTTGCAAAAACATCTGGTGTGTATTGGTTTTTCTATTGTATGCCATTTTTAATTACTTTAGTTGTCTTTTTTAAAATTTATTTTCCCCATGTTTACGTAACAAAGAAAAAGGCTCATGATAACTGAAGCCCCCTATGCATTAATCATGTAAAGATGTCTTATAGAAAACTTTTTAAATTCCACTTTACACATTTTAGCTCTTAATTAGGTAAGAGATGGCTGGCTGCTGCTTTCATTTAAAAGCTGTTTTGAAGCCCTTCGTTTAGTGAGTTGTACTTTGTGTTTATCAAGCACAATAGGTTTTATACCCTTCAATTTGTGCCTTAATGTAACTGGGGCAAGTACTGGACAAATTGAGAGGAATCTGATTCCATGATTTTGAAATATTACTTTTGAGGTCTTCTCTGGACATACATTAGAAGGCACATATACTCAGTGCTCTTCAGGAGGAAATGGCAATTTGACCTAACAACAAAATAATCATATTCATCAAGAGATTTTTATTGTACTCCAAAAAAGTACTTATGACTTCTCCAATTATAGATTTAGCCATGTTTTACAGATGATAATTTGTGCCTGTACAGCATACCTGCACCTATTTTTTTGCAGAGAAAAACTGAAAAGACTTCTCCAATATATTAATTCTCACATCATTTGATGTATTTATTGTAATGTTAGTTCACTTGACAATTTAAATACAAAATGAACAACTAATGGCATATTGTGGAAAGCGCATGTCAGTAGGCAAGATATTCAAACACGACTGTTCAGTTTGTGCACTGCACAAAGGAAATAAAATCAGCCCCAGGGAGGCGACAACTTTTTGTAATTCACTCTCCAAGAGGAGTGGGAATTTTAGGATTCCCATAGAAGAGCCATATGCAATAGCTGCATCTTCAAGTTGCCTTCTCAGTTATGACTCTTGATGCTTGAACTTGGACACTCCTAGGCCTCATAATTTTAACAAGACTGACACAAACAAATGGACAAATAGAAGCACCTGAGAAAATTTAAATATGTCAGCAATAATTTAGAAGATACTAGGTTGACAAACCTAGACACTTTGTTATTATTTAATGTTATTAATTAATTAATATTTCTTAATAGTAAAGCTAGACATAAAGTCATAATAATATTTATTTATTAATTGTATAAATTAGGTGTGCTAATAATACACTTTATGTTTAGGAAGAGACTTCTCACTTTTTTCTTTCTCATTTGGTTCTCTTCACAATTGCCTTTATTTTACAGATGGACAAACTGAGCTTCTAAAAGGCTAAATCCTTTTATAAAAGTCATGGTGATTTTAAGAGCAGGGAAATAACTCAAATTTATTGATTCTGTCCCTCTCTATAAAACCATCAGAGGTTAACTTGTATCTTAGAAGACACAGCTGGGATCAAAACATCTTTTTGTCAAGTTAACAAATATATGTGGAGCTCTGTTTGCTCCATTTACTGCTAATCACCTAGCTGTGTATGAGTAGCATTCTTAGCCTCACATCTGCCATATATGCATATATGTGTATATATGTCTATGTGTAATATGTGATGTATGTAATACATGATGAAAGTCCTAAATGTGTGCTAATGACTACCATTGAGGAGTTTATTGTTATTTCTTTGTTATTAAAAATACAGAAAAGACAGATAGTCTAGTGGCCAAAACCGATAGAAAGAATCCCTAGTCTTCAGGTGGTTTTCAGTAGGAATACCTGCCCAGATACTTAAGACAACAGGACTCAAAGAAACTAGGTATGGGTTTTGGTCCTTGTTCCTAGAGTAAATTTCAGTATCATTTTGGGTATATTACTTTAATTTTCAAAGTCTCATTATTTTCTACTCTGGTTTTAAAAAAAAATTTGTTATTCCACTAACAAATGGATTGTTTTGATTTGTTCTTATGCAATAAACTTTTAAAAAGTGGTACTTTAGACATTGAAGTAATGCATAGAGTTCACACTAAATTGTGCTTCAAATTAAACTAGATTAAAATGAGTGCTGCAAATACCCAATGTGGTCAGATTTGCTAATGAAATACTTACACCAAACAAATATATTTGTATTTTACTTAATTCAGCTTGATTCAGAACTCATAAAATACCCTATCATTAGCAATTCAGCACAAAAAAGATGCACAGTTCTATGTCACTAACCTCAGGTTAATCTTCTTAATTAAAACATTATCTCACTTAATGACAATTTAGTTGCCAGTAAAATAAGGTTAATTATTATTGGAGGCTTGTGTTTCAGAATCATAGAGGAAGGATTTTGTGGATTTGTAGTCTTTGTGGCAAGTGAGACTGTAAAAAGGAAATAGATGAACTCTTCTAATTTGCAAACTATTGAAATGATTCAAATGTTAAAAGGTACAAATGAACTTGCAAAATGCACTTAATTTCAGAACTCCATGGAAAGATAAAAATCTAATTGAGATTATAGAATGCCGGACAGCTGAATTTTGGAAACAGCCTGATGTTTGGTTTTTGTCTAAAACTGACCACATGGGTACACAACTTTTAATTTGTTTTCATGTAGAAGCTAATTGGGATATCAGTGATGGTGTACACATATCAACTTACAGTGCATTGGACATGAATAATGGCACTTCTATAAATCATCATTTTTGTTAGTCCATATAACAAAACTATGGGATATTTGTGACTTGTGACATACTCTCAGAGAAGTGTTGTCTCATTTTTGCTAATCAAATAAAATAATACTTGAGGATCCTTAGCATCCTGTCTATGGTCTATATCCAGTAAATAACAGTTACAATTTGAACTGAGGTTTCTCTGAGTCACAGATTAAACTAAACCGGTTCTCAAGATGTGGTCCTTTTGCCAGCGGTGTCAGGCTCATCTGGGAAATTGTTAGAAACACAAATTCTGACGTCACATCTAGACATTAGAAAAGCTGAACGTGGGCCTCCGCAATCAGTGGTTAAATAAACCCTCCGGGCCCGCTGGGGGATTCTGGTGCAGGTTAACCTTTGATAACCACTTAGCTGCACCATAAATGTATATAAATATCAGTGTGTTACCAAAATTTGCATACTAATTATAGTTAACCTGGGAATCTTGTTAAAACACAGATTCTTAGGCCCACATGCAGAATGATTCTGAATCTGAATGTAGGTCTGAGTGGGGCCCATGAATTTGTGTTTCTAAGGTTCCAAATGATGCTGCTTCTCAAAGAACAACACTTTGAATGGCACTACTAAATACTACGTCCCAGCTCTAAATTTTAACATACCTGATCCAGTTAGAGAAATCGTTCGACTAAAAAAATATAGATAAAGCGAATATTTTCAGGGTGGAACATGGCAATTAAATTAAAACAAGAGTGATGTGAAAGTAAAAGTAGCCTTCTACTACTACGTGTAGTAGAAGGCTAAATTGCCCGAGAATGTGCTCAGGCACTTGCAGGTTTTAGAGCGATGAAAAGCTTTACAAAATCTGACACCAGAGCCTTCTCTGTGAGTCAAGCTCATAGCTTAGCTTCCAGGAAGCCTTTACTCTATGAACATTTTTATAATCTCTCTTAAGATCCACTGCATTTCTGTAGTGAAAGCCTGTCGGACTCCTTTCATTGGCTCAAAATCTCTGACTGTGTGTGATGCACTTCCATAGATGTGCTAGTCATTTTTTTTTTATTAACTTTATTTTTTAGTGCATTTTAAGGTTCACAGCAAAATTGAGAAAAAGGTACAGAGATTTCCCACATGCCTCCTGCCCCCACACATGCATAGCCTCCCCCATTATCACCATCCTCCACCAGAATCATACATTTGTTACAATTGATGAACCTACATTGACACCTCATAATCAACCAAAGTCCATAGTTTGCACTACAGTTCATTCTTTGTGTTTACATTCTATGGGTTTGGACAAACGCATTATAGTATCATACAGAGTATTTTTGACAGCCTTAAAAATCCTCTGTGCTCTGCCCATTCATCCCTCTTCCCTCCTCTCTGTGCTAGCCGTTTTTAATAACCTAAGAAAACAGGTCATGGGGAGCTATTACTGACTATTGATGGAGTTTATTATGTTGCTTCTGGTCCTGATTGAACTCTGGGTTGTATCAATGCCAATTCCTTAAACATGGATCTTTCTTTGTCATTTTTTTTTTTTGTGAGGAGATCAGCCCTGTGCTAACATCCGCCAATCCTCCTCTTTTTTTTTTTGCTGAGGAAGACGGCCCTGGGCTAACATCTGTGCCCACCTTCCTCCACTTTATATGGGACGCCGCCACAGCATGGCTCGCCAAGCAGTGCGTCGGTGCGCGCCCGGGATCTGAACCAGCGAACCCCGGGCCGCCGCAGCGGAGCGCGCGCACTTAACCGCTTGCGCCACCGGGCTGGCCCCTCTTTGTCATTTTTAAATCAGTTTTATCATTATCTAGATTTTTGTCAGGTCTTTTAATTCAACTCACTTTTAATTTCCTTGTTCTCTTTTGTATGTCTCATATAGTCCTCTCTTAAAGCATCAGCCACACCACAATGATACCAGTGTATTATTTAGAAACACGTTGAGCCACAAGGAGTCAACTGATTCTGTAAATCATTTATCACGTAAACATTCTTTCATTCATTCATTCAAACTCCTTGAGATACATTGTGAAAGTTTCCATTTCTGCCCCCTAAGAGTTCACAGTATATTTAGAAAAACTTTGGAGGCCATTGCCTAGGAATGAACTGAAGCAAAACTACAGTAGTTAAGAGCATCCCGGGTTTAAATACTGGATCCCTCAATTATTGGATATTTCATCTTGCACAGTTTGCTTAGCTTCTCCATTTTCATCTGGAAAATTGTTTTAATTATATCTTAGGACTGTAGTAGAAACATTTAACAATATAGTTCATGTAATGCCTGTAACACATACTACGAGCCAAAAACATATTAACTGCTATACAGGCTAGTTGTTATTTCATAAATTTTGATTTACTAAGTTCAAATTACATGTTCTTACTACTATCTTTCTACTCTTCATGCCAGGAACTTAGTGAGGGCAGTCCACTTCATGGCCCACCTCCCAAGGATCACTTACACCCTATCTAGTATTCATTAAAATTTAAAAGAAAGCCTAGGATGATTAATGCAGTGGAGAACATTAAGTATTGTGAAATTTTAAGTGTGTGGCACCTGAATTGGGTTGATTTTTTTTCTTATTTCTTCTTCTTTTTTATTTTTTAATTAGCCAAACTCTATTCCCATTGCATTTATATCCTATAATGTGAGTAGCTGCTTGATATACTAGTTGTTTTGTAAAGCCAGCCCTTCTGGTGTCATTCTGGGGAAAGAAAACTGTAGCACTGCCTAATGAATAAAGTCATCATGATTTTCTATCACCTTTAATTGTCTGACTAAAATGCTTGAGAAGCAGCAATCTACAAAAACAATTGAAAGCAATCAAGTTGTTGAATTTAAAATCATTTCTGCTTCAGAGAAATTAAACTTTTTTCCCCAGTCTAACACAAAATTGTAAAAGAATCGAAATGCATTTTCTTTTTTTCTCAATATATTCTAGTGCTTAGTGTAATTGCATTACAACGTTCATTTTCTCAAAGGCAGGTCAAGTGAACCCAACAATCAAATTATATGTTGTAAACCTATATGGACCGACTCATACATTGGAACTCATGCCACCCGACAGCTTTAAATCAAGGTATGCAATTTCAATTTCACTTTTACAGGCAATAGATATTTTAACTCCAATTATCCTTTAGTTGCAATTTAGAGAGAGATGTGAGACGTGATTAGCTCAACAAATCCACTTGAAAGTAAAGCTGAGGTTGCCTACATTAGTGAAGGAGTGAACTCATTCTTGATGTCTTGTTGTTCCTAGGAACCATTTAAATTTTCAAGGTGATCAGAAGCACCACAAAATGACTAATGTACTGATACTGAGAACTGGACCTTTTGCAGGAGATGTGACAGAGAGATGGGGGCAAAGGATAATTTTCTGTTGAATTTTCTGCCTGAAAATAGTCACTCCATTTTTTTGAATGGTCCTCTTTAAAATAGTACAATCTTCCTAAAATTTGTGAAGTTTTCCCAACTTTCTCTCCGCATCTTGCCAATGATTCCCTCGTTAACTTCCCCGGGCAGGGAAATTTAATGAGATTTTGTTTTAAAATATCCTATATAAGAAGCCTTCTTATCAAAGAAGTTTGAGAGGGGACAAAAGAAACACATTTTGTGTGTCCGAAACATAATTTTAATATTGGAAAAATCTCCAGTAATGAACAACTAATCAAAAAACCATGTGGATTTTGAAATTCAGAGTGGTGTCAAACTTCAAGGGTGATTCTTTCAACTATTACAGCCCTTTGAAAATTTACAGCAGTCCTGGACATGAGATAGGCAGCTCATTTAAGAAAATAGTTTCACACTATATTGAATGATATGGGGCTAAGCTCAACGTTTGTTTTGATGACGTAAGCAATCAACACAAGGTGACCAAAACAAATAGAAATCTCATTCATATGTTGTTTCGTTGATATATTTGGGAAAATTTCATCACAGTGGGAGATTTTCACAGATAGTGCAGCCTGCAATGTGTGGAAATTTTTCCTTCTTGACAAAGCAATAAAAATATATGGACTGCTTACAGTGGAAGAGCCTCCATTGACTACCTAATGTAAACTGCTCCTTTTATTGATGGAAAAGATGAGGCCCAGAGAGAAAAAAATGGTTGAGATAGAACCTCAGGGTTAGTTGATAGCAGAGATAGAAAATCAGGTAGAGCCTGTTTCAAGCGACAGAACATTTCTCCCCGGTTGTGATGGAAGACCTTGAGGGACATCAGAATTGACATATATAATGCAGTATCTGCCCTCGTTCTGCCAGCCCTGAAAGATTTAGTCACAAATAAAGCAATTATGGAAACTATTGATACTTTATGTGGTCCTTAGCTCTTATCTTTTTCCCTGATTTTTTCCATGCTCAGAATTAACAGGAAAGGGCACTAGACTAGAATGTTTGAATCATATCTCTACTACCATTTCATTATGTGACCTTGGACAAGTCACTTTACTTCTCTCTGGGCCTGAATACCCTAATCTTGAAATAACAATTTCTAATTTTCATCAGTTTTTTAAAATCTTTTAAATGGAGGTCCATTTTACAATATCTCGGTTTCTTTCTAACAGAAAGTAGTGATTCCTGACCTTGATTTTGTTACCAAAAAGGATTTCTAATGAGTTCAACAGTTAATATATAGCAGACTGTCATCAAACACAAAAATTTCTAAAGACAGAATCAATTGTCATTTATTATAATATTAGTTAAGTATGTATCTCTTTAATATTTGAAATATGATAAAATTAGTCACTCATTGCAAAAAGATATCACATATCATTGGGTGTTGGAAGTCCAGTACACAAAACAATGTAATGGATTCCACTGAGAGTAAGGAAGACTCCTATAAAGAAAAAGCCCCTAAATGTAATACAGGTGTGTTGGTTTAGCAATGAACTTGGTCCTCAATTTGGAGAAAGTCATGTAATACTTTATCTACACAATGTACCTGACAATTTTGCTTCTTCTGCCTTGTGGTCTTATGTAAGTTCCAACTGTGGTATGTGAAATGCACCAAAGTGTATGACTTACTCTTTTTGTTGGAAAACTCAGGAGCAAAGTTTACTTCAAAACTGATATTTTGAAATATTCCCCATGCTTCAGTTTTACAGCAATACATTTCCTCCCTCATTTGTTCCTGGTGAAAGCTTTAGTCCAGTTCACAGAAAAGAAGGATAATCAATGAATTTTATATCATGTGCATTTAGCAACTCTGAGCACAGGTATTATCTGCATGGGTCCAGAAACACACAAACATGAAAAAAGTAGAAATAGCTATGGTGTGAATCAAAGAAAGCTGCATTCATATAGCTGCACATCAGATGGAAGCTAAACTCTTTTTTTTCCTTGATTTTATTTTAGGATTATCCGTATCTCTAATATTTAATGCTTAGTACTTTAACCATATGGAAATTTGCTGGAAAACTGTTGTGCTCTCTCTAGTTAGATAGATGCTTGAGATCTAAAAGAGCATATAATATTTCATAATTTATTGGTCAGGGTCCTGGAAATTAAAGAGATGACACACTCAAGAGGGGTAATTGAAATGCCGTTAGTTAAGGGACTATTAACAAAGGTGTGGGCAGGATTAAGGGTGCACTCACAAGGGATGGAAAAGCAACATAGAGTTTGCAACAGCAGAAAGCTATTACTGACTGAGGACTGAAGGAGCAAGGGGCACGCTCACTTACAAAACCTGAAGAGGCTTGTAGCTGAACAACAGAATGGACCAGTATGACCTGTCCACAAATAGAGCAATTCAGTCATTGCCAAACCATGCCCTAGTAGGGAGTGGGTCCTGGGAATCAATACCTTGAGCTCTCTCCTCTCAAGCTCTGAGTTCCTGCAGAGGCCTACTTTTGGCGAAGTAGCCTCATTGTAGAGTCCGGCCTCTAGAAACTGCTGGGAGGCGAGTTGAAGAATGGAGCTGGCAAATGGAGAATATTCAACACAAATAATTTAAGGATAATATTTGCCTTAAGAAATATATCATTGTTATTCCTTTGGGATGTGTTGGAGATGTCCACAAGACCTCCTGTTGATTTTTCTGAAGCCATGTGAGAAGCATTGTGTCTCTGTTTCTGGTTCTGTTTTTGTCTCTTTCTTGTGTGTGTGTGTGTGTGTGTGTGTGTGTCTTTCAATCTTCTGTCTCTCTCTCTCTATACACACACAAACACACATCTATGATTTATCTAAGTAATATTTGTGCTTCTCCTGAAAACCTGTTATATTTTTCTCATGTGCATTGTAGATCATGTAACCACAGTCATGCATCACATAATGACGGGGATATGTTTTGAGAAATGCATCATTAAGTAATTTCATCAATGTGCAATCATAGAGTGTACTTACACAAACCTAGAAGGTATAGCCTACTACACACCTAGGCTATATGGTACCAATCCTATGGGACCACCATTGTTTACATGGTTCTTCAATGACCAAAACATTGTTATGCAGTGCATGACTGTACAGGGAGGAAGATTAATAAGATAAATATAGAAAAATATTCTCTTATGACTTGAGCTACTTTATAAACTGTATTCCCTGACCCTCATACTAGAGAACAAGATTTGTTCTGAATTTGAAGATGTTAGTCATTTGTTTCAGTCTGTTGATTGTTTATTTGATTGGTTGATTTATTTATTTATAACAACTCGTGTTCATAATTATAATAGATAAAGATCCCCAAACTAGTCTCATATTTGGTAGAACTTCTGTTCAATCAGATACTTATACTCTAGCCAAAGCCTGTAAAGTAAATTTCAATTCATTTATATTCTTTTAAAAACAAATTAAAAGAATAAGGTAACTAACTTGGAGAAAGGCATGATTTCTTTCCTAATTCCTTCTTCCACATCCCCTTCATTTGAAAAAATATATATTCATGATTCAGCCAAAGATCCTTCATCAAAGAAGTTCAGATTATGAATGCAACTTTTATTTGCCATTCTTATCTTTATTCAAATTATGGTCTGTGTTGATTCTTCAGAATGTAGCAAGGTAGGAACTAAGATAATGGCCCTTCTTGAATATCCCCAGACCTAGTGAGAATTAGATGACTCATCTCATTTTAGGGAGAAGGATCATTTTGCAAACTGTTACACTATGAGTCTAAGGTATTGCAAGCATTCATTACCTTTACTGGAAAACTTAGATATGAACTTAAAAATACATAGTTAAGTTCTAGAGGAAAGATTTTTTTAATGATAATGAATTATGCAGATTTTTTCATAGCCAGGCAATTGTCATATTGTTTTGGGGAAGTGAGTATCCTTTGTGCTCATACTTCTCCAGGCTGAGGAGTAGAGGTAGTGATTTGTCTTTGGTTTCTCCTTACTCTGTGTCTTTGACATTATTTTATATATCTTTCTTTAGTCATCCACCCTTTGTGATCCATAGTTCTCAGCCTGTATCATTGATGCAACATTGTCATATTGCCCCTGTCACTCTGGGCTTGACATTGCTGTGCTTCTTCTGCCTATTTCATTGAAATATGTCTAGTCTACATCTCTTATTCTGCCAAGGAATATCTGTGCCTTCTAATAAAATCTAATTAACAAATTTATCTGTGTTCATGGGACTGTCCTAAATGACCCTTCTTACAAGTAATGCAGAGTTGTTAACAGAGGTCTTTGGAGAACACTAGCTATGAGTTCATCATGGATGCCATCACAATACACTTAGCAGAAGATATCTGGAAGAGAATGAGCTCAGAGTAACTATATGTGTGCAAAAATTGTTGTGAACAAACAGTAGTGATTGGACAGGAAGCCAGTGAAAACACAAGTGTAACTGCTAACATACCTATCTGCTGGTGATGCTGAGACCTCCATTCCACATAGCCTTGTGAACAATTAGATCTCATGTGCCAGACCACCCAGCTAATAGAAAGTCTTTCTTGAGTGCAATCCTTCTAACCCGCTTGTCTCTGTCTCTGTGGCTCAAGAGGACCAGATCCTCGAGGACTTCCTGGGTAATCCAGAGCCATGGAGACTAGGAACAAGCAGGAAAGCCAGTTATAAGGAAGGGACACTTTCGCTGGCCACTGGTCGTGGAACACCAGATCTAATGTGTTCATGAGATGGAGTTCCAGGAGGACAACCACATCTGCAGCAGGCAGGCCAAGGAGTGGGACATTTCCAGGTAAGGGCACTTCCCCACTCCCTCATTCAGAGGAAGCCTGAATACTTATGAGCAAACTGAATAAATATGAATCATAAGGAGATGTGCGCCTAGGATCCTGGAACAGAGAAAGAATACAGGATGTGATTTAGTTAGTGAATGTATCCTTCTTCCCTTTTTATGTGTCAGGCTGTACTTTAACTTTCATTTTGGATATTTTCAACACTTTATCATGGAAATTTCAACGATTTGAAATTACCCTTGAAAGACTTTACAAATTCAATTTTGGGAAGAACTCTCATTCTTATAAATAAGATATATACTAAGATATTTCATATAAGACTAAATTTTGCTTATGAACGTAAAATACATTATGCACAAACACAAAATAATCACATTATTTAGTCAAAGATAAATGTATGTGGTATGACTATAAATTAATGATTTTTGACTTCATTTTACACCTGAGTTGGTATTCCCTATAAAAGATCATTTATTCACCAGTTTGCCTGATTGAATTTTAATTGTTTTCAAATATAAAATACTTTTTAAAAGTCAAGATTTTCCATCATAGGTAATAAATGTGTCAATGTCTGTAAAGGCATTGCAAAGAAGATGTTCTTACAACATTTTACTTGAGGGCTACTTTGAAAGGGAAAACACTCAAGATGAGTATTTATATTCTATTTGTTGTTGCTGTTGTTGTTATTTATTTTAAAAATCATTCAGATTAGTTTTTCATCTCACTTGGAACAAATATAGTATTTCTCATTTTAGCTAATTGAGACAAATTTCTGATTGGGATTGAAAATCTTCTGTATACCAGTTCTATCTAGATTTTTTCCATAACTATGACCTACTTAATTTTGCAGTCTTTGGTCAGTTGTTTACAATAATCAAATTATGTTTTACTTCAATTTTGAACAACATTTATACCAATTTATCAAAAATGTGTATTGTCAGAATTCAGCACTTTTTTCCAGATTAGTTATAGTACTCACTATCATTTTTCTCCACGCTAATCCTCTAGACAAATCTATTGATGGTTAATACTTGTATTTTCTTCTTTTTACTATTCATACGGCCAAATATGATAAGAATGCAAAATAAATCAGCTTAAACAAAACACTGTGAAAGTGAACAGGACACTGTTCTTTGAAGAATCAAGAGGCTCATTGATCTGGCCAAAGATTAATCCTAAACCAGTTGCATATTTGATTCACAGCTGCCTTGTTAACTCTGTTTAGAGAACTTTATGCTATGATTTTCACTGAGTTTCTGGGAAATTGTCAAGTGGGACTCAGCTGGTTGTGAAAGCTGCCAGATGTCTAGATAACATTGTTGAAGAAAATATGGCAGGATGACTGTATGAGAAGCTATGCTTGCCCTTCTACTGACATCTTCACTTTGACAGGCTACCGGGTTTCCTAGAGGAAGTGGTGGCTACTCAGTCATGTTAGAAATGTGAGATTCATGTAGCTGAATGTCTAATCCAGATGTGTCTAAGGACAGGTGATTTGTATCACAAGGTTCTCCTTCCATAGGTGATTTTCTCTAAGTCACATAAAAACTGGGTGAATTAATTTTAAGACAATACTCAGGGATGGTGTTTTTCAAGCCATTTCTAAAGCATTTCATCTATTCCAAAACTGGGCAAATTTGTTGAGACATTGTTTTCTCTTTTTATCATAAAGTGAATCAAAATTGATAAATACATTTTGCCCTGTGTGGGTCGGGGTGGGGGCTTGTGATATATTATGTAAATTTCCAAACATAGAATCTACAATGAAAGAAATAAAAACTATAAAGAAAAAATATAAACTTTCCCGATCTACAAGCAGCCTGGGGACATCATAGGCCCATTAATTAGCATCCTTACTATACCAAACACTCAGTAGCCCCTCGTTTCCTTCAGTTTAATTCCTTCTTTGTTTTAAATGATCTCCAAATAAACAAGATTTAAAAAAATATTGTTAATAAGATTGAGACTGGCCCTTGGCCCACAACTGACAAACACAAAAACAAACCACTCATAGCTCTGTAGCAGAAGTCCCTATGGGTGAAGTGAAATGACATGGAAGTCATGCATAAGACATAAATATTGTCTAGAATAAACTTTGCCTTTTAATTGATTATTGAATGTATTTTTAAATATGTAAAATAGAGTACGCTTAGGAAATTTATACTTATTTTGCACATGTGTTAGTACTAATTAATAGAAAATAACAAATTATTCATAAATATCCAGCATCTTGATTATTTTTATTTTTCCGAGAATCCTCTTTCTGGGAAATTATTCACTTTCAAATTTATTCTCAAATTTTTTGTATATTTGTATATGTATGTATATTTGCATGTGTTTTACATATATACATACACATATATTTGTGTTTATATTTGAAAAAACAGGTGTGTGTATATACATAAGTAGAAATTAGTATGATGTGACATCCTAAGAGTTTTTCATTTATTCTTGCATGTAAAATAACAAGTGTATGTTATTGGTACTATACAGGTTCTATGTCTGCAAAATTTACATTAAAATGTAAATTTTAATTTTGTTTCCAAACTAGAGAATACTATATCACAATGGTTAAATGGGTAAGCAATACCAAGACAGTGGTCAGATGGTTAAATCGACCTCAGAACATCTCCGTCCTCACAGTCTGTGAGACCACTACTGGTGCTTGCAGTAGAGTGAGTATAATTTACTTTCTTTTTATGCTTAAAATGAAGTAGTTTATGCTACCTTTCAAAGGGAAGTCAGGCAATCTTTTGTGCAAAGACTTTGATATTTAACTTCCAAAGGTAGTAGAAAAAGAGTCATTATGTTAGGAGTATATACTTCAATCCATAAAGCTTCCAAACTTTGAAGTAAGAATATAGAGGATAAACAGAAGAAAACAAATTGAGCTTTAAAAAAATGAATTCTTATGTATTACAGAAGGTAATCCAAGCCACGTTAATTATATTCTAAAACGTGAGCTTGCTCTATGTATTTTGACTTTGATTAACTTGTGGATATGGAATGCTTCTTTCCTATCTTCTTTAAACACATTCCAAAAGTTCAATTTTTTTCTGTAGTTCAGACTAGTCTTCTAAAATAACAAACTGCGTCTCAGTCCTTAAATTAAGTAAAAACAGTAAGAAAAAATTGGTTCCTGAACCACTGTGTTTTGAAAGCAGGTTGTATTTTGATTTCTATAACCGGTTTTTATAAACTCTGCAATAAATTCTATATATGCCATATTTAAGGTTCTTAGTAGAGGAAATACTGTAATAAGTTTACATTGTTATATTATATACTTGGTACTTGGTAAAGGAGTCTCGATTATTTAACAACAGAATTTTAAAACTTCTGCTTCTGGACAAGATGGAATAAATGTTACTAGACGAGCATCTCTGCTATAATCAACTATAAAACTGTACAAAACATATTAAACAACTATCTTCAGATGTTGGAAAACAGAAGGATCAGGACATAAATGATGAAATAAAGTAAATGCACAAGATGAGCCTATTTGTGACTTCCTATTGGTGATATTTTTGAGACCACAGTGCAAGGAGTCGGAGCCCAAGAAAAGCACAGTGGTACCACTAATCCAAGAAGGCAGCAAGAATCAGGATTTGAGGCTATTGTGGGCTGAAATTTGCAGCACAAGTACTACAGGATTTGGAGCTATAAAGAGAAGAATCTCAGCAATCTATATACAGGACCTCTTAAGGGTTTAGCTCAATGCTTAGCTGTGCAAGTACTGGACATGCCACAGAGAGAGAGAAGCAAACAGAGAATCTGTGGGTTGCATAAAGCTTGGAGACTTTGGAGTTCTGCATTGCAAAAATAGAGTGCTCTCACTGAAAATCCTGTGAATTCAGCTCAGAGCCCAGAAAAAAATTGTATTAGGAATAGAGCTGTTCTAGGCTCCTTCAAATAAACCTTTAAATCAAACCTTGAAGGAATCCAGTTCATCTGCTTGTAAATTAGCTGCCTGCAGGAAGAAAGTTTACCTTTTTAAAAGAAAAATTAAAAAATTAACTCTCAAAAATGTAGCATTTATTATATCAATCAATAATCAAAACATACTATATATGTAGGGGGCCAGCCCAGTGGCACAGTGGTTAAGTGCGTGCGCCCTGCTGCGGTAGTCTGGAGTTCGCAGGTTTGGACCCGGGGCGTGCACCAATACACCACTTGTCAAGCCATGCTGTGGCGGCGTCCCATATAAAGTAGAGGAAGATGGACAGGGAAGTTAGCCAGGGCCAATTTTCCTCAAGAAAAAAGAAGAGGATTGGCATCGGATGTTAGCTCAGAGCTGGTCCTCCTCACAAAAAAAAAAAACAAAAAGAACATACTATATATGTAGAGATATAGAAAATATAACCCACTCACATCCCCAAAAATAGTCCATAGAAGAAAACTTACACAGCGTAGAGATATAAGAATTAACAGACACAGAATTTTCTTTAAAGCTATTAGAAAGATATTTAACAGGCTCTAATTAAGAAAGAGATGAGAAATTTTAGTAAATAAATATAAATTATAAACACAAAACAATGTAATTTCAGAAACTGAAAAATAGAGTCTCTGAAATGAAAAGTTGGATGGGCTTAACAACAAATTGGACACTGTTGTAGTCAGGGAAATAGAAACAATCCAAATTGAAGTCCTGAGGGGGAAAAATTTATAAAAGCCTCAATTACCTGTAGAATAACATGAACCAGTATATATGTGAACTTATGTTCACAGAAGACAAGGTTTGAGATATTGAGGCAGGAAAAAGTTACAAAATAATGACTTAAAATATCCCAAATTTGATGCAAAGCCATTAACCCATATATCCAAGAAGTTAGCAAATCTAAAATAGGATAAAGACAAAGAAAAAATACCTAGGCACATAATACTCAAATTATTGCAAATCAAAGATTAAGAGAAAAAATTTTAAGAAGGCTGAGAGAAAAATAAGTTACATATAGGAGAATGTAATGATGAGAATTACAGTCTGTGTCTCATCAGAAACAATGTAAGCTAGAAAACAATGGAAGGACATTTTTAAAGGACAGAAAGGAAAACAATGTCAAACTAGAAGTCTATATCCTGTGAAAATATATTTCAAAAATGAAGACAAAAAATATTTTTAGATAAATGAAAACTAAGATAATGTATCACACACCTGAAATGAAATTATTCATACTGAAAAAAATGACAGATGAAAACTCAGACTAAAGGAAGGAAAGAAAGGTACCACAAATGCTATGTGAGTAAAATAAAATACTTTCTAGTTTTTAATTTTTCTAAAAGGTAATTGATAAACAAACTAAAGCAATATATAGTAGAGATATTAATAGAGTCATTTCATAAAGATACAGTATCTATTGTTTAGGAAGATATAACAATTCTAAATACCCATGCGTCTAATAGTAAAGCTTCAGAATACTTAAGCAAAAGCATAAGCGAAAGCTGACAAAATTAAGGAAGAAATAGAAACAATTATACTTGGAGACTTGTGTTCTTTTTAATGTACTTGATGAAATAAGTAATCAAAAAATCAGTAAGAATACAAAAGATTTGGGCAATACTATCAACAACTTAACTAAACTGATATTTAGAAGACATTTCATCCAACAACTTCAAAATAAACAATCTTTTGAAGTGCAAAGGGGATATTCACAAGTCTAAAAGTACAAAAAATTGAAATCAAGCAGAATATATTATTTGACCACAAGGGAATTAAATTAGAAATCGGTAACTAAAAGATATTTGGGAAATCAACAAATATTTGGAGAATAAAAATGCTCCTAAATTACTCATAAGTCAAAGAACAAGTCTTGAGAGAAATTAAAAACTATGTTAAACTCAAACATAATGAAAATATAACATGTCAAAATATATGGATGAAGCAAAATGGTGCTTAAAATGAAATTTATATCTTTAAATGCTTAATATTAGAAAAAGAAAAAAGGTATTAAATCAATGATAAATCTCTAAATTATAAAGCTAGAGAAAGAAGTGCAAATTTAACTCAAAGTAATTAGAAGGAATGAAATAAAAATAAGAGCACAAATTAATAAAACACAAAACAATCTATAGGGAAAATCAATGAAGGCAAAAATTATTTCTTTAAAAGATAAATAAAATTGATAAATCCTTATTTATACTAATGAAGAAAAAAAAAACCCTCCAATCACCAATATCAAGAATGACAGGGGACATTGCTGTAGAGTTTATAATTATTTAAATGTTAGTAAGGGAGTAGTATGCCAATAAATTCTCAAGTAGACATGAAAAAATTCTTTGAAAGACACAAATACCAAAACTAAAGTATGAAGAGAAAGAACACTTGAATAATTCTATACCAATTGGGGAAATTGAATTCATAATTAGAAATCTTCCCACAAAGAAAACACCAGGATCCAGTGGCTTCCATGATGAGTTCTATCAGCAATTTAAGGAATAAAAGCAGTGACAAGATGGCAACATAGGTCATTCCAGGCTTCAGATCTCTCACAAGAAGACCAACTAGCAACTATTCATAGACAAGACACCATTGTGAAAAGCCTAGAACTCCGGAATGAAACTGAAGCATCCTCTAGACCACAGAGACTGAGAAGAATCCCATTAGAAGGGTAAGAGGAGCAGGTACACTCTGACCACGTTGCCCCTCCCCCAGGCCAGCACAGTGCCACAACAAGAGGACCTACAGTTTCTCCAGTGAGAAAAAGAAAACCCAAGATGACCATCCAGCTCCCCCAGCATTGTGGGTCGCTTCCTGGGAGGCCCACTAGGGTCTCACATCCTGGATCATGGAGGAAATCTGCCAGGTTTATCCACGGGAGATCAGATTGTGATGGAGAAGGAGGACAGAGCTTATAGCAACCAGTGCTTGATCTTGGCAGACAGAGTTCATCCTCCAGTGGTACCAGAGTGGAAATTCAAACCAGTAGCTTTGCCATTGACAGTGGCCCCATGTGGTCAGAGAGCTAAATATGTAGTCCGCCAGAGACAAGACCCCAAAGGTGAGCCTGACCAGCACTGGAGCCTGTTCTGCAGCCCTGCCCAGACAAGGAAGCTAATCGATAGCCCTGCCTACTGCTGAGTACAGCCATCAGCACTGCCCCACCAGGAAAGCTGGCCAGATCACCCAGGAAGCTGCGTAGCCCAGCAACACTTGAGCAGAGAGCCCAGCCAGTGGCTTTCCCCTTCGGCAGAACAAATCCAACATCTCCGTCTGGCCAAGGAGCTTGGTGTGTAGTTTGTCTTGATTCAGTCTTTAAATGAAAAGCCTTGCCAACCTTGGGGCCTGTTCTGTGGCCCCACCCAGGCAGGGAAGCTAAATGATGGCCCCACTCACTGCTGAATACACTGCCTCCAGGGCTGCCCAAGCAGGAAACCTAACCAGAGCCCAAACAGGAAACCTAACCAGAGCATCCAGGATGCTGTGTAACTCATCCTACATCCTCACTAACAGTGGCTCTTGAGTAGAGAGCCTGGCCAGTGGCTCTGCCCATCTGCAGAGCAAATTTGGTGGCCCATCTTGCCAAGGAACTCAGTGTGCAGTTCTGCCTGATTCAGTCCCCAAACAATGAGCTGTGCTGGGCTTGGGGCCCATTCTGCCACGCTGCTCAGGTGGGGAAGCTAATTCATAGTCCTGCCTACTGCTGAAGATGCTACACAGTCCCACCCAACTAAGAAGCCTGAA